TGGAAAAGACATGTCAACGTTTTCTTGCCTGTGAAGGGATTAAATGAACCCAGTGATGCAGCTGGGTTTTCAAAATAATGGGCATCATGTCTTCTGACAAGCACTCTAATTTTAGCATCCATAAAAAAGTATATCAGAATTTGCATTAGAATTCAGTAGAATGGTTCTAGGTTCTAGAAAAGAGAGTATAATGGTAGAGAGAGAAAAGGTAAGCAATTGACTTAGCAAGATCTAGGTCTTCCCCCACATTTGGGATAATCTAGAATATGTTTTTATTGTCATAAACAATCAGATATGCTCTTTGAATTGAAGAGAATTTGCTTTCGCTGTTTTTTGGCATAATTGTAATTCCAAGCATGGCTCAAGTCAAAACAGAACACGGAATTCTTCACAAATTATGCACTAACTCAGCAGGGAGGCTGTCAGAGTGCAGGGTTCTAGATTTGGGCACATTACTTAACTTTTCTTAGTTTGTCTTCTCTTTTGTAAATGCAAATAATTGTAATTCCTATCAAGGTTATTGTGAGGATCATGGGATAATAGGCCAGTGCGTGGTTCTGACACATTTAGGAACTGCTCAATAAATACTAGGCCCAATTATTTTCAGTATTGAACACATAATGAAGGGGTGAAAAACTACATCAATTATAATTTTATTACAAAAATATTTATTCACTGTTGAACTTGATTCTTAATGTTTTTCATCATGGAACAAGGGTTCTGACCTCAATCATCCACCCATCAAATCTGAACTGAGAACTTCCTGTGTATAAACAGGAATATAAACAAGTGGATAGGATACCTCCTCCTGTGTGTTTGCCTGTTCCAAGTGTCAGACATTATGTAAGAAGTAGGACCTACATCCTGGGCTTCCCAGATGGTGCTCGTGGTAAAGAACCCACCTGCCAATGCAGGAGACATAAGAGATGTGACTTTGATCCCTGGGTCAGAGGAAAAAATGGCAAACCACTCGGGTATTCTTGCTTGGAGAATCCCATGGACAGAGGAGGCTGGCAGGCTATCAAGCTATACGGTCACAAATAATCCGACACAACTAAAGCAACTTAGCATGCAGGTCCTGCTGCTGCTGCTGCTGTTGCTTCAGTCGTGTCCGACTCTGTGCGACCACACAGATGGCAGCCCACCAGGCTCCCCCGTCCCTGGGATTCTCCAGGCAGGAACACTGGAGCGGGTTGCATTTCCTTCTCCAATGCATGAAAGTGAAAAGTGAAGTCACTCAGTTGTGTCCTACTCTTCGCGACCCCAGGGACTGCAGCCTACCAGGCTCCTCCATCCATGGGATCTTCCAGGCAAGAGTACTGGAGTGGGGTGCCAATGCAGGTCCTACCTCCCAAAAATCTCCATGTGACCCAGACTGTAGCTATCTGGGAGCAGCCACCTCACTTTGATTCCCGGGATCTCCAGGGGAAAAAACAAATCATAAAATAAACCTCAGAAATATCAAATATTTAACTTAAGCTGGAGAAATATGCATACATTTATATAATCCAAGTAATGGATTATAAAATGTATGATGCAGTAAACCCTACACAATACTTTCCAGCTATTCATGGTAGTCTGAAGAACTTTGCAAAAAGATAAAATTATTAATATAACAGATTTTATACAGGCTTTCATGAACACTTGGATTTCAACAGAGGTGGTTTGGAAGTTGAAATTGAATATGGGTGGACCTGGGTCCCTCACTCCCACTTCATTCAAAGTAGCTCCTCTTCTTTTATCTGTCTTATAGCCCAGGTTCTGAAGAAACTGTCTAAAAGCTGAGGGTGCATTCTGATGGTAAAAATCAAACAAACAAATAAACAGTTTGGAAATCACAGCATTAAGAAGGTTCAATCTGGTGACTTCTGGTGACAATCTGGTTAAAGGAAAAACTTTAACATCTCTGAAGCTTACCTGTCACACAAAATTTATAGCAGCTTAATGTTTCAGCATTGTGTCAAGGACTTCTCCAAAGCTAATGCTAAATCTTATATGCTCTTTAGTATAGATACCAAGTAAGCATCCTCCTCCACTCTAGGACTCTTATTTATGTATTTTGAATGGGGATAAGGAATTGGTCTCTTATAGAGGCCTGCACTGTACTTTACCAACTGGATGTGTGTGTGGGGGGTGTGGTGGGTGGGTATGTTTACAGGTCTGGGGGAGAGAGGATAAAATCCAGGTATTAAAAACTTACATGTAAAATAATTACTTGCCTTTTTTTTTTGCTTTAATTTTCTTTTAGCTTAATTTGATCTTCCTAATCACTCCTGTTAAATGCCAGCTTTCCCAGATGCTACTGTGAAGATCCAAGCACAAGTTCTTCATTATCTCTCTCTGTGCTTCAAGAACTCATTGATTCACTCATGCATACATTCAAAAAACCTTGCCAAATTTGCACCATATTCTAGAGACTGCAGAATGGTGAAATGACTAGATCTAAACCCATCCAAAAAGATGTGATGGGCACGCACACACATTGAATCAGCATGCAAAAACCGATTGAGAATAGGCTCTGGGGTCAGACCTGCCATGATGTGAGACCCATTTCAACAGTTACAAAGTCTGTGAACTTGAGTGAAGCCATCTATTCTCACCAAGTCTCCGTTTCCTCATCTGTGAAACAAGGCTTAATAATATCATCTACTTACAGTTCTGGTGATTAAATGTGCAACCATATGTTTAGACACTGGCCCCTGACCCAGTGTAAAATGATTACTCAATAAATAGTAAGAATTATTTTTCTTTGAAAGCTCAAGGCCACAAGCCACTGGATTGTGTAACTTCATGGATGGAGTACCCAGGTGGCAATGCATTAACAAAACAATGTTTTTGGCAAAAGGTTCTGAGGCAGTCTCAGTTGCTCTCAACTTCTCAGGGAAAATTTTGCTATCTTCAAGCCTTTTCTTAATTAACAGAACCCTAACTTGGCTTAGAGACATACTTACTTGGTATAAATTGGCCTTTATTTTGGAAGTGAATACCATGTGAACCCAGGTGTAAAACAGAGAGGGCTCCAAAGTACTCTACAAACATGCTTTCTAAAAATGATCACATGAAAGATTAATGTAAATTGATACTGTTCTCAACACAGGAGCAATTCCCTGGGAATGACTTAGGAGATTTAAGCCATCAGCGGCAGGATAACAGCTAACACACTGAAGTAATGATAACTAAATGGTGCTCTGAGTTATTAATGCAATTTCTACAAGAGCCTCACTCATTATGAGGATATGGTGATCAAACAAAGCAAATTTGGCTCCATAGTACTTGGCACACACTGCATATTTTTAATGCTTGAGGCTTAAAAAGCTGTGAATTCACTTGGCTTAGTATTGGGGCTTTTCTGGTATATTAGCTTCTTACTGCTGTTATAACAAATTATCCCCAAATCTGGTGCCTTCAAACAGCACACATTTATTATCTTGGAATTCTGTAAGGTAGCAGTCTAATATGGGTCTCACTAGGCTAACACCAAGTTGTTAGTAGGTCTCCTTTCCTTTATGGAAATTCTAGGGGGTAACCTGCTTCCTTGCCTTTTCCAATTTCTAGGTGTTGGCCTAATTCCTTGGCGCCTGGCTCACTTAGTGCATCTATTGATACAAAGCCAGCAACACTGCATATTTCGGATGCTTATTTCTCTCTTCATCTTCTGACTACAGCTAGGAAAGTTTCTCTCCTTTTAGGGATTTTTGTGAATAGACTGGATTCACCTGTACAACTCAGAATAATCACTCCAGCTGAAGGTTTTGACCTTTGTCATATCTGAAAAGTCTTTTTTTTTTCCCCATATAAGGTAAGATACTCACAAATAATGGGGCTTAGGATACAGATATCTTTTATCTTTAGAGGGTCATTATTGTGCCTACCACATATGGCAATGGGGCGAGTGAGCTATTAAAGTTACTGTTAAAAGACACATGGCTGCAGGTCTTTTGAATGCTCTGTTGTATACAGCCATTAAGGAAGATATGAACATTCAGAAAGTTCTCCTGCCCTGTACCTTCTGTTAAACTTTAGTTCCATCTGTAAAATGACCACTAATAGACTAAGTGACCACTAGCTACCCTTCTAGTTTAAAAGGCTGGGATGCCTTCTTTATGGACTAAATTTTATGTACTACTCCTTGACAAATTTAGGTGATTCAGATTTCAAGGCAAATTAAAGAATCAGAAAAGATGGAGAATTGGAAAAAAATTTTTTAAAGGACAGAAAAGGTACTATCTAGACCACATGAATTATTCAATCTCATGATCTTTGCACTGGTCAGTCCCCACATGCAGTACTATGTTCCTTTGGCCCTGCAGCTTTTGAAAGGAGTGGTCTGCACACCGAAGTGAGTCTATTGGACACTAATCAGGAATGTGAGGGGTCTCTCCAGCTTGAATTATAGTGGCAGGAGCAACAAAATGTACTTTGAACAGAAAATTGGAAAATGGGATGAAAGTGGGGATATGATAATTTGTCCTTATTGAAGAAAAGTGATTCTTTTCTTCCAGTAACTAAATTCACATGGTCATTTAGTTACTCAGTGTAACTCTAGAGGGCCAAGGTTAGATTAATGAGTAGAAGGCACAGGAAGGTTCAATATGAGAGGGAACTTTCCAGGAGTAAGACCTGGAGCAAAATGGAAGCAACTGCTTTCGAGGCAGTTATTCTGTGTGCTTAGACTGTGACTGTGACCAGAGACACTGCAGAGTCTAATCCTCCACTGCTAGAGGCTTTATGTGGTAGTCCTAAAGATCCCCCTGCCACAAAACCTCTAGAGATGTTAGAATCTGATTAATATAAAAATAGATTAAGAAGATAATTATACAAAAGTTGTGCTTTAGATTATACCCAAAGAAGGATTTCCATCAAGCAAGGGTAGAAAGATTTGAGGATACACAAGCAAAGAAAGTTTTGGGATACATTTTAAAAAGAGTTGGCACTTTTTATTAGTCCATTGTTTATCCTTAAATTGCATTCTTCTTAGGATTAAAAGGTAAACTAGAGCCATGGCTTTGAAAGTGCATCAGTGGGGTCCTCTGCTCCTTCTGAGTAAGTCAGTTGCTGCCAGGTATGGGAAGATGAAGGGGAAAAGAAAGAGCAGAGATAAAGGAGAGACAAAGGAATCATGGCCAACCATTGCCTACATTCTGCTCTCAACCACAGGAGCTCCACGTTAGGGCTTCTGGTAAAGTTTCCTTTAAAAATGAAGCTCAAATGCTTTTTCAAAAGGTAATATTGGGGTCTAGCAGAATATTCAGACATAAAACTGGAGGATTTGAAATGAAATGAATCTAAAATCCGTTTCCCCATAGTTTAGAGATGTATCATATTTTTGAGATTGGTAGCTTTCCAACTTGTGTAAATTTCTACATACCTTCATGTTTTGATATTCCACCATTGGGTACTGCTTTGTAGTATGGTCTGATAGAGACAACACACACACATTTTTAACATATAGACCATGATCATGCTATATTTCAAGAAACTCCATAGACACGCCTTATGGAACACTAAGGGTTCATGCAACTGAGATAAAAATCTGCTGCTCCACAGTTTACTGACTTTGACTAAATTCATTAGAACAATACCTAAGTGTATGGTAGATAATAACAACAGACTTCTGCAACTTTTAAAAATAAAAAATATCAAATGACAAACCAAGGGGGACATACCTGCTGCTCATCACTGAAAGCTAATCTCTCTAATAATAAAGGACTCCCAAGACACTGACAAGAAAAAGGCTCACAATCCAACAGAAAGATGGACAAAGGCCAAATATATAGTTAATAAAAAAGGAAATGCAAATCACCTTTAAGTATAAAAAGATGCTTAATTTTACTTTTAATAAAGCCCATTTAACTGGCAAAATCCAGTTTGATAATAGTACCTTGGTGAGTCTGAAGAAACGGACAAATGTTCTTGTGTGTTCTTCCATTGAGGGCTACTTGATAATATTTATCAAAATTATAAATGAATATCCTCTTTGACACAGCAATTCTAATTCAGAGAATTTATCCTGCAGATATAAGTGCATATAAAAAAGATTTATGTATGAAATTACTCATTATGTTGTTGTTTATAATAACACAAAATTGTAAATAATTCAAATGAACTGACTATACAAATAATGGAAATCCATATAGTGAGATAATATGCAGCTGCAAAGATGAATGCAGTAGCTTTGCATGCACTGATCTGCATGACATAAATCACTAGAAGATCTTTCAGATAAAAAAAAGCAAGATGCAAAACACTGTGCAGAATAGCACAGTATTTGCTTTTTTATGTAAAATGCATCCAATGATATATATTCATGATTGTTTTTATATATATCAAGAACATTTGAAAGTATACTTACACATATTAATAAAATAGTTATTTGTGACTGGATAGAGAAAATAGGCAGAGGAAACTCTGGATGAAGAGGAAGTTATTTTATTTATTACACTTTAATTTCTCTAGTTAGATGAATCTATAATCTCTGATCTCCTTTTCAAAAATAAATTTAAAAAATAATTAAATGACCACCTTCTGACAAACTAAGATTCACCTCAACAACTATTCACTTTTTTGTAAGGGAGCCTATTCTTTAAAAAAGTTTTTTGAAATGAGAACAAGACTGGTGTACTAAAAATAATAAAACTATAATCCATTTGGTGAATGAGAAGTTAAGTATTTCAACCTCCTCTGTTAATGTAGATAAAAGGAGTAATCATAAACTTTAATTCCAAACTTTCAGACAATGAAAGAAACACTTTTTAAAATAAATTGAATTATCTAATTTTTATAATCTGATAAAACATAGCCTACCATCTTTTTTTATAATCTATTACAAGTATTGTAACCTACAGCAGATTTTATGGAGATAGTTTAGTTTTAGTATTAGTATCATTCCTCCTCTTTTAAGATTTACTGTGTAGTAATATCAGCAATACTTCTATAGAACATACAAAAGCATGTTCATATTAAACAAAGATTAGTTATTTTACTGCAACAAATGGTCATAAGGCTATTTTAGATAATAAAAAATTGCTAACCTTTATTTAATTCTCTAAGAGAGATAGTGTTAAGTGCTTTTTTCCTAAATCGTACCTGAGCAACAAGCAGTCACTTAATATCCCTTTTACACAAATGAAGAAATAGGCTTTTAAATTGGAAATCTTGATGAAGGGTAGGCAGCTGTTTCATGAAGAAGATAGAAGCTGAACCCACAAGTGAGACTGCCAAGGCAATGTTCTTGACCACCACACACCACCACCACTCCTGTCCCAAAACAGAAACTTGGGGAAGCACATTTATAAGGAAATCCAGGAAAGCTTGGAAGAGAGGAAACCGAGGTCAAGGTGAGAAATCTCCTGTGAGTCAGTATAGATTTGGAATTTACATGTTAAAAAGGTCTCCAAATGTTCTAACGTAGCTGGAGAAAAACCTAAATCTGGGAATGGTTGCCATGGACATTTTTCTATGACCATGCTGTCACTCAGATGGAGTTTTAAAAGGAGCCAGACAGCAGTCAGTTGAAGGACACACCTTCCCTGGAGCCTGGAGTGCAGCTGCTCCCTAAGAGCCAGCCATTTGCTCTGGCTACCACACTCTCAGCTGGCCAGGCCAACGTTCTGGTTTTAGAAGCTGTGAAGGTTGACTTCACTCAGCTGGAGGGCCATCTCCACAACTGTCTCCCTCTGTAGATCTAGCACTGCCACCGATGTGTGTGGCAGACAGGAGACGCCATGCTTGCCCTTGAGAAGGTATAGAGCTGTCAGTGTGGGCAGCTGAGACTTAATACTTTGAAACAATTACAGAACCCTAGAAGACAATGCATAATCAAGGGCCAGGTTGTGTGGTACGGCTCAGCTTATGCGGAAGCAGAGAAGGAACGTGATGAAGCACAGTAAGGAAAGATTTACAGAAGGATGGGTCTTGAGTTAGTTCAAGGTATCAGACGAAGGAGGTCATATTTAGGGTGTGAAATAAGAGTTTGAGAAAAGGCTGAGAGGCCAAAGTCATACTTTCAGAGTAGTTTAGAGCCAACATAATGCTCATAGTTATTTTTTTTGTTCATGCATCATCTTATTGTCATTTTGATAACCTACTGCATGTTTAAACTCTACTAAGCACAGGGAATACAAAGAAGAGTATGATAAGATCTTTATCCTTATCATCTGAGGATGAAGAGTTTACTTTTAGCTGGGGTAGCACTTGTGTATATTGAGAATGGGATGGTATTTATGCTAGAGGGTGATGGCAGCAAAGGAAGAAAAACTCACTGAATGGATGAGAGATGGCAAATATGAATGAAAATGTAAAATGTGTCTAATAAAAGAAACCTGGGAGATGAATCTGGAAAGGTATTTTGTTCCAGAGTATGGAGAATCACAAATACTATGACTTGACATCATAATATATATATTGAGAAACATAATTAAGGCAAAGGATAGACAGTGAAATTCAGTGCAAACAATTAAAAAATAATACTTTGGGGAATGGAGATAACTGAAATAACAATAGAAAAGTAATGATTTTAAGGACAAACTGAAGAGTATAAATATAAGAATAAAGCAACGAATAAAATGAGGCCAGGGAAAATGTCTAGAAGGCTTTGGGAAGAGCCAGGACTAATGTCATGACAAGAGGACTAAAGTTAAAAGGTTGATAAGAGAAGCCTTTAGAATGAAAAATAATAATAATACTTTTTTTGTGTAATTGAACATAGATTAGGAAGGATTGGGTTGACTAAAATACCATTTCCATACTTTCAGACCTAATATCCGTCTAGCTTTCTATGTGGACAAAAATAGGATGTTAAGAGAAGTCTTTCTGGAAGCAAAATAGTGGGTCCAATCTTATATATCAAGGGTCTGTGTACTTAAAATGAGATTCTATCCCATGTGTCAAAATATATCTATAAGTATAACTAATTGCCTTACAAAATCTACATTTCACACTTGCATTGAGTTTTCTACTTTCTCAATATCATGTTTCACCACATTACAATTTAATTTAAAAAGAAAAAATGAATTTTAGAATGACATTCTTTCTTCATTTTTTTTTTTTAAAGCTCTGAATTATAGTGAGTCAAATCCAGCAGAGAGGCTTAAATGTGCTACCTGAGCAAATCTGCAGAAGTAGTCACAGCTAGAAGCATTTCTCTGGGAAGGATAAAGACCTTGATGGATGATCCAACCATCTGTACAAGGTCTAATAGAAGAAGCTATTATACAAGCTGGGGTTGTGATTCATGAGAGTAAATCCAGGTGACTACTGACAAGTTCAGATGAAGAAACTGAGTTGAAGCTAAGCATTAAACTCAGGTGACAAGGACTAAGACAAGGAACAAAGTGAGTAAGATGATCAACTTACTTCAGAACAACTGGACAGGAAGTCCTAAAAGGGTCAAAAACAAAGCAGGAATTTTAAGAATTCTGAGATTATCTGACAAAATAAAGGCTGGGACCGCATTCATGGTGGTAGCCACTCATCTCATGTGGCCTGAAGCCTAAGAAAACACTGCGGACCAGAACGGGCTGTTCTCTCCTCCTCTGGGGCTAAGATCTACAGGAGATGCTGGAAGTCTAAGTAGAAAGTAAAAACCAGTGGACATAGCATTGATTCTTTTGAGTTAAAGAAGAACATTCAAGGTCTCCATGCTAGGGGGGGCAGGGAAAGCACACAGTCAAGAAGGTCCTGATAATCATTCCAGATCAAACAGCAAACAAGACAAATGGACTTAGAGAGAGGTCTATACAGTTTGGTCGGACAGACGTTTCAGTGCAGAGAGAGGCATGGCTTGTGGTGCCGAGGTCAAGGCCAGAAATGCCAATCTGTGGACAGACCTTAAGACTTAAAGGAGCTCTTCTCTGGAAATGTGTCTGTTTCTTTATATTGATATCTGACTCGGGGCTTTGTTTTGTTTTCCTTCTACTTTTCTAGTAAACTTCCCCTTGAAAATTTTCCACCTTGTGATTAGAAAGCTGGAGGGCACAGGCGAGGTGATGGCAGCTGTCATCTCAGCTGGAGAACATTCACTCCCCTTCTTTTCCTTTCTCAGCAGCTGCTGAGGCTGAGGCT